CCTGTTAGAGCAGGGAATGAATGAGCCCTGCCCGTGCCCCTCACTCCCAACCCGCAGCCCCTGGGCTTGCCCCATTTCTCCCCCATAGCCCAGCACTGTGCTAAGGGTTGCTGTGCTGCAGGGAGCAGGGCTGGGGAGACAGTAGGGGGCGCTCGCCCCTGTAAATCAGTGCTGACCCCAACGTGCTGGTAGGGAATGTAGTGCTGAAGGGACTGTGTGGGGGGCTCAATAGGGGGCACTCTCTCCCCACAGTCAGTGCTGACCCCCTGCCCCATGTAGTGCTGGGGGGTGCTGTGCTGCAGGGGGTGGGATGGGGGCTCAGTAAGGGGCCCGCTCCCCTGTGGGTCAGTATTTTAAGTGGATGCCCCAGCATGCCAGTGGCACGCGCTACGATAATGGGGTTGCAATCTAAATAATCAATAGTGGGCTACTGGAATTCAGCTGGCATCTAAACCACAGGCCAGGCCACTTGCATCCATTACAGATGTCGTGTGAATTATCCCAAGAGTCTGGACGTGAACCTGGGCACTCGGGCCGAACCCCAACTCTGGTGAACACACAGTGCCGGCCTCTCGCCGCTTCCTGAGGAGTTCCTTGTTTATGGATGCCCCTCCCCTTCCTGTTCCAAATTCCCTCCCCAGTTCGAGGAGAAAAGGCCCAATAGATAGTGAAATGGCTGCTGCCAGGGTCTCCGCCCCATTGTTGGTCTTGGGTGGTAACAGGCAGAGCACAGGCATAGGAGACAGGGCTTTGCAGTGAGCTCGGTAGCACCAACCTGGCTGCAGCAGCAGGATGGGGCTGGCAGGGATGAAAGGTTCCATGGTGGTTGAAAATGGCACTCAGAGTGGAATGTTGGGGGTCCGAGGGTTCCGCGGCAGCTAGGGGCAGAATGCTGGCGGCCTGAGGGTTCTGTGGTGGCTGGGGGTGGAATGTTGAGACCCAAAGGTTCCAGGGTAGTCCGTAGGGGAAAACCGCACAACCGGGATGGACTCAAGTCTCAGCCCTGGCACTGAATCTGTGTGAGATGTGTAGGCAGCAACCAGCACCATGGGGTCCTGCTCCCTGACTGAGGCCTGGAGGTGCTACTAAGAATAACAGCTCCTGGCTCTTACAGAGCATCATTCAGCCCTAGATCCCTGTGCTATACAACAGAGCTAATTAGCGTCATCCAGGCCATATAGATGGGGAAACCAAGGTATGGGAGTGGGGGGGGGGGGTGACTTGCCTCTGATCCCACAGCAAGTGAGCACCAGAGCTTAGAACCCAGGAGTCCTAACTCCCTGCTTTGGCCCCTCCCCCAACTCAAACTCCCTCCCCTCCCAGAGCCAGGGATAGAGCCCAGGAGTCCTGACTCCTGATCCAGTACCCAGCTCACTAAACACACACCAAGCCCCACCACCTCACTGATCTAACCACTCTCATCTGCAGCCCTTTGCATGTCAACAGCATGACCCAGCTGCTGTCCCTGCAGAGCCGCCACGGACCGTCTGTGAGGGAGGTATTGTGGGTTTATTATTTTCAGACAGAAGTAGAAACAGACAATGGATAAAAAACGTCCTTGTGCCCATCACAACAGACAGGCCTGGGAGTCTTGGGAACATACACATCAGCCCTTGGGGACTAGCTCAGGGGGGGCTAATGGCACCGGGAAGGAGAGGGGCTGCCCTTCACCTGGGAGCATCCATCTCTCTGGCCTTGTGGGGAGCAGCCCCTAAAGCTCCCAGCCCCCCGACTCCTCGCCAGCCCCGGGAGAGGGGAAGGAGCAGAGACCAAGGCACAGAGAGGGCGAGATCCACGTAGTGACGGGACAGGTCCTCCTGGAACGGGTTAGGCCAACGGGGATTAATAATCCCTGCTGAGTGGAGGATGGTGAAGGGGGAGACGCCCCCACCCCGGGCACTTTGCCCCCAGCTCCAATGCAGAGACAACTACTTCCCGTGACACCCAAATCCAGCCACGTTGAATCAGTTGATGGCGGGCGGCAACACCCTGCTCCCACCCGCCTCCATCACTCCGGCTCCTCTTTGATCTGCACGTCCAGCTCCGCGTCCCATGTCCCTGGAGGCAGCACCAGAACCTCCCCCACCCCATCCTCCTCGTCATCCTCATCCCGCAGCTGGACGAAAGGGTCCCGGTAGATCCGGGCCCCACCGGGTCCCATCAGCGGGTCGCTCTCCTTGGTGTGGGTGCGCTGGTGCTGGGTGAGGGCAGAGCCCTGGGAGAAGCTTCGCCCACACTGGGGGCAAGGGTAGGGGCGCTCGCCGGTGTGCACCCGCTGGTGCTGGATGAGGGTGGAGCCCTGAGAGAAGGCTTTGCCGCACTGGGAGCAGACGTAGGGTTTCTCTCCGGTGTGGGTACGGCCGTGCTGGGCCAGGGCCGAGCTGTGCTTGAATGCTTTCCCGCACTGGCCGCAGCGGTAGGGCCGCTCCCCGGTGTGGATGCGCTCATGCCGCTTGAGGGCCGAGAGGTCTCCGAAGCGCTTGCCACAGGCCCCGCAGCCGTACGGGGTCTCCCCGGTGTGGATGCGCTGGTGAGTGGCCAGCGCCGAGCTCTGGCTGAAGCCTTTGCCGCAGTCGGTGCAGCGGTAGGGCCGCTCCCCAGTGTGGACCCGCTGGTGCCGCTTGAGGGCCTTGCGGTCGCTGAAGCGCTTCTGGCACTCCGGGCACGGGAAAGGGCGCTCCCCGGTGTGCAGCCGCTGGTGGGTGATGAGGGCAGAGCTCACGCTGAAGCTGCGCCCGCAGTCGCCGCAGACGTAGGGGCGCTCGCCGGTGTGGGTGCGCCGGTGCAGCACCAGGGAGGAGCGCTGGCTGAAGCCCTTCCCGCACTGCGGGCAGCCGTAGGGCCGCTCCCCGGTGTGGACCCGCTGGTGCTCCCGCAGCGACGAGCCGCGCCGGAAGCCCTTCCCGCACTCGGGGCAGATGTGGGGCTTCCCGCTGTGGATCACCGTGTGGCCCGCCAGCGCTGCCGCCTCCCCGAAGCGCCGGCCGCACTCGGGGCACTTGTAGGGCAGCTCTCCCGTGTGGCTGCTCTGGTGCCGCAGCAGGTTGGTGCGGGTGCTGTAGGCCTCCCCGCAGTGGGTGCAGACGTGGGGCTTCTCCGTGGCGTGGACGCGGCCGTGGCGGGTCAGGTGCTCCTTGTGGCGGAAGCTCTTCCCACACTCGGCGCAGGGGTACGGCTTGGCGCCGCTGTGGATGCGCTGGTGGCGCAGGAGGTTGGAGCTGTTGGTGAAGCCCTTCCCGCAGTCGGGGCACTGGTAGGGTCGCTCCCCCGTGTGGGTGCGTTCGTGCTTGACGAACTCCGAGTCCTTGGTGAAGCTCTTCCCGCAGTCCCCGCAGATGATGGGCCCCTCGCGGGAGGCACGGCCTGGCGGGGCTACTTCACCATCCCGCTTCGCCCGCCTCTGCCGTCCCAATTCACCAGCTTCCCCCCCCTTGGGGCTCCGGGATGGCCCGTGCGGCTCTGCTCCTGCAGGCCCTTCCCACAGAGGAATTTCCTCCTCCGTCCCGGTACCTGCTGGGAGAGAGAGAGAATCCAGCTGGGGCTCATTCTCTGTGCCGGAGAGAGAACAGGCAGCAAAGGGAGTGGAAAACCAGCCGGGCAGGCAGCGAAATCCCTCCAAACCCTTCCCCAGAGGGGAGAGGAGGAGGCAGGTCTGCCCCAATGGCCCAACGTAACCCTGAGCAGCTCACTGCGCCCCTCCACCCCAGAAAGGAACCGGCTGCCACCCGCCAGCCAGCGAAGCTTAGCTCAGGCTCTACGGGTGAGAGCGTCAGCCTAGAGACCTGCCGTCCGAGCTCTGGCGTCCCGGTCCTGCCATCTGGTGCATGCACTGCCCAGCCCCCACTGGTTACCCGTTTCCTGCTGTGCTTCGGCATCCTCTGGGTGCTCAGCAGGCGACTGGTTCTCTGCTGCCCGGGGGGGATTTTGCTCCATCTCACCCTGGGATGGGCTGCCCGGCTGTGCCATCAAATCTCGGGCCCTGGAAACACCCAAAGACACCAGTCACCACGGAGCCAGGACCGAGAAGAACTGGGGAGAAGGGTCTTCGTCGAGAGGCACAAATAGCCAAGCGCCATGAAGAAATATTCAGCCCCCTGCCCATCCCAGAGGCCCAGCTGGCTGGAGAGACCGGGCTCTCAGAAGCCGGCAGACTGGGGTTAGCCGTGAATACAGCAGGCTGGTTGCACACTGCCCCCATTACAGCCCTGCCAATGACCCTCAATCCCAACACACAGCTCCTGCTATGCAACCCTGGGCTCCTCCACCCCCCAGCTCTGCCAGTGCCCCATAATCCCAACCCACAGCCCCCGATATCCCAGCCCTGGACTCCTCTACCCCCCAGCCCTGCCAGTGCCCCATAATCCCAACCCACAGCCCCTGCCAGCCCAGCCCTGGGTTCCCCCCAGCCCTGCCGGTGCCCCATAATCCCAACCCGCAGCCCCTGCCAGCCCAGCCCTGGGCTCCCCCCCACACAGCCCCTGCTAGCCCAGCCTCCTTGCCGTGGTTGCTTGCTCCAGGCAGCGATTTGCTGCCTCTGTTGCTGTTTCTCTCAATCCCCGGGGCCGCCTCTGGCTTGGACTCTGGGTCTCCCCTGCGCCTGGAGGGGGGCCAGGCCGGGAGGGGCTCTTCACAAACCCGGATCCGGTGCCTGGGGACCCACGTGGCTGCCCGGGGCGCTCAGCCCCGCAGCTGCCGAGCAGCTTCGCAGCCAATGGCTTTTGCAGCAGGAAGTCGCTCCCTTCGCTGCCTCCTCCCCTTCCCCCCGGCTCGCAGCTCTATGGTTTTAACCCGCTAGATCCGAGCGCCCCTGCACCGCGCCCCAGAGGTGGCTGCATTTTTCAGCGCCGGCTGGTCAATGTCGCTCCCTTCCACAGCCAGAGGGGCCGCCCGTCCCCCGTTGTCTACCTCCAGCCTCCATAACGCAGCGGGGAGAGAAAGGTCCCTTTCAGTTGACGGGTCTTTGGGGGCGCTCCAGGGGTTACCCGGATTTGTGCCCCATATTACTCCAGCGTGGCTCTGTGGCGCCCCCCAGTGGCTGATGAGGTCACTGTTGCAGCTCATCACTTAGCTTGGGCCCGGGACTGGCCCAGGTTGCCAGTTTTGGTTGCATGTATTCCTGGATATTTCCTCACATGACATAATCTTCCATTAAAGATTAATCTTTACATCCTGGAGACTCCAGGTCAATCCTGAAGGGTTGGCAACCCTACTCTGGATACTCAGGCTGTTGGATTCCGAGGTCACAGGTTCGACTCCTGCACTGACCCAGTTTGGGACTTAGTTCCGGTGAGCGCTTTGGGCTAGGTGGGCCGGTGGAGGAGTTTCAGCTGCCCATTCCCATTGTGGGCTGTTCATTACCTCCTGCATGCTATATTAGTAATCTGGTGCTTGGGGGTTGGACTAGATGACCTCCTGAGGTCCCTTCCAACCCTGATATTCTATGATACAGGAGCAGCTCTCAACCTTTCCAGATGACTGGACCCCTTTCAGGAGTCTGATTTGTCTTGCGTACCCTCAAGTTTCACCTCCACTTAAAAACGACTTGCTTACAACATCAGACATAAAAATACAAAAGTGTCCCAGCCACACTAGGTTTTTTGTTTTTGTTTTTAATGGAGATATACCTATCTCATAGAACTGGCAGGGACCTTGAAAAGTCATTGAGTCTGCTCCCCTGCCTTCCCAGCAGGACCAAGTACTGTCCCTGACAGATTATTTTTGCCCCAGATCCTTAAATGGCCCCCTCAAAGACTGAACTCACCCTGGGTTTAGCAGGCCAATGCTCAAACCTATCCCTCCCACCCCCCAAAAAAAACCTCCTGGAGAATGCAGGCATCGATCCCGCTACCTCTCGCATGCTAAGCGAGCGCTCTACCATTTGAGCTAATTCCCCTTACTGAACAATTGAGGACTTCCTCATTTTTACCATATAATTCTAAAATAAATCAATTGGGATATAAATATTGTACTTACATTTCAGTGTATAGAGCGGTATAAGCAAGTCATTGCCTGTATGAAATTTTAGTTTGTACTGACTTCCCTAGTGCTTTTTTATGTTGTAAAACGAGGAAAATATCTAGATGAGTTGCTGTACCCCCTGGAAGCCCTCTGCGTATCCCTGGTTGAGAATCACTGTCCTACAGCCCCCAGGGCAGTGGAGTGGCTAGCCTGAGGGGTGGAGTACTGGGTCTTTCCCCTTCATATCGGAGGGGGATGCTGGAGACCTCTCCCTTGGCCTGTCCAGTCCTTGTCCTCCCTGTCAGAGCGCAGGCTGGTCAGGGCACATGAGCAAATTTGTACAGGGAAACCATTGCCTACCCATCCCATCCAGCACCTTCCCAGGCCAGGCTGGGGCAGGGTGTGTTAAAAATTCAAGGGAGACAAAGCTTTGCGTGGAAAGAGACAGAAAGAGCAAAAGTCTCTGGATGAATCTCATGTGAGGATCGGACTGGGGGTGGGTCTGACAACACTGGCCTCTAGCACAGTGGTTCTCAACTGATTGATCATATGCAGCTCTCTAGGTGTCACGTGGGCCACATCCACACAATCTATATAAGACCCGTATGGCCCTGAGAATGTCACATGGGCCGCAGCTGCGTGCTGATTGGGCTGCTGGTTGGGAACCATTGTTCTAGTGCAGTGATTTTCAAACTTTTTTTCTGGCAACCCCATTGAAGAAAATTGTTGATTCCCACGCCCCAATGGAGCTGGGGATCAGGGGTGTGAGGTGCGGTGTAGGAGGGGCTCAGGGCTGGGACAGGGGGTTGGGGTGAAGGAGGGGGTCAAGGCTCTGGGCTGGGGGTGCAGGCTCTGGGGTGGAGCCAGGGATGAGGGGGTTGGGTGCAGGAGGGGGCTCCAGGTTTGGGGCATGGGGTTACCTCTGGCAGCTCCCGGGCAGCGGCGGTGCTAAGGCAGGCTTCCTGCCTGTCCTGGCACCGCAGGCCGCACTGCGCCCCGGAAGCGGCCAGCAGCAGGTCCAGCTCCTAGATGGAAGTGTACAAGCAGCTCCATGCAGCTCTTGCCTGCAGACACCGCCACCACCACCCCCAGCTCCTGTTGGCTCAGAACCAGCCAATGGGAGTAGAGCCAGTACTTGGGGGCGGGGGCAGCATGCAGAGCCCTGTGGGCCCCCCCACTTAGGAGCCGGATTTGCTGCTGGCCCCTTCTGGGGCACAGCACGGTGTCAGAACAGATAGGGACTAGCCTGCCTTAGCCGGGACTTTTAATGGCCCAGTCGGCGGTGCTGACCAGAGCCGCCGCAACCCAGTGCCTGACATTCTGTGACCCACCGTGTGAAAACCATTGCTCTAATGCCTGAGCTAAAGGGGGGCAATTAGGTCAGGGACAGCAGCAGACTCCTGTATAGCCCAGCCCTTACAGGGGTCTAGTCTTGGGTACAGGGAGATCCAGTGTTTACATGGGGAAATGGGGAGCAGCACTTGGGCCAGTGGAGGATCTAGTGCACCCAGCTGGGGAAACCCAGACTCACCCCCAGCTGCAGGCAGACAGGTGGATTCTGCACCCCCACTTCCCAATGAGGGAACCTCCCTCCCTCTCCCAGTGACCCCCTTGGAAATCCTGCACCCCCACGCTAGGCTGTTCTCAAGGAATGAGGTCGGGCGAGCACAGAACAGCGGGGAGGTGAGGGGGGCAAACCCCAGAGGCAATACAAAGGACACAGAGTTGGGGCAGTTTCTTTATTGCATCCAGACAACAGACCCTGATCACCCACTGAGAAAGCAGAGAGCCAAGATGGAGGCGAGACCCTAGGGAGCTTCTCCGGCTGCTTGGGAGCCAGGATGGGACGTCCCCGGCTACCAGCGAGCTCCATGCGTTGCGAAGAGAGGAGCCGGGTGCTAGAGGCGCCACTGGGGAGAAGGAAATAGACTCTCCCCTCCTGCATGGAAGTGTCCGTCTGTCCATCCATAAAGGCGATTAAGGAACTGGTCTCTGGGGGGCTAGGCGGGCATGGAAGGTCTCTTTAACATTTGTGAAGAAAACCAAGGACATTTGAAGTGACCGGGGGGACAGGCCCCATGTCCCATTCTCCAACCTCTGAGCCAGCCAGTCCCTCCATCCTGTGGCTAGCTCAAAGCTGGTGCCCCCTAGAGGGGAAAGGCCCCATGTCCCATTCCCTGCCCCCTGAGGCAGCCCGTCCTCCAGCCTTGAGTCTCTAAGTGCCACCATAGTACAAATAATACCAATAAAAGAGAAACGGAGCCTGCAGCCTCTCCCCGGTATCTCTCAGGCGAGCGTCTCCCTGGCAAAGATCACTGTCGCTCTCCCACACACAGCCTCCCCCAGAGGCCTTGACATTTCTCTCAGGGACGGTGGCCCCCCTGAAGTCCTGTAATGCTCTCTCCTGGCAGGCTAAGGGGTCTCTCCATAGGAGCCTATGTTCCCGCCCCATGCCAACATCCCCCTCCTTTCTCAGCCCATAGGCACGTCCCCAGTCCTCCACTGTGGCCCCGGGGCAGGCGAGCGGGCGCCCAGCTGCAGCCGCAGCATTGCCCACATCTGGCCAGGTGAAGGGCCCTGCTCCGGGAGGAACCGCCGGTGCTGCACCAGCCTGGGCCCTGCAGCGTCACCAGCCCCCTCGCCGCGCCGGTGGGTGCGCTGATGCTTGACCAGGGTGGCTTTCTGGGTGAAGCGCTTCCCACACTGGGCGCAGGGGAAGGGGCGTTCGCCGGTGTGGGTGCGCCGGTGCTGCGCCAGGTTGGCGTTGACGCTGAAGCTCTTGCCGCAGTCGGGGCAGGTGAAGGGCTTCTCTCCGGTGTGGACGCGCTGGTGCAGCAGCAGGGTGGAGCTCTGGCGGAAGCTCTTGCCACACTCCCCGCAGGCGTAGGCCCGCGCCGTGTGCCGGGCCTGGTGCCGCAGACACCGGGCCACGTCGCCGAAGGCCTTGCCACACTCGGCGCAGCGGAAGGGGCGCTCGCGGCCGTGGGTGTTCTGGTGGCGGAGCAGCTTGGAGCTCTCGCGGAAGCTCTTGCCGCACTCGGGGCAGCGGAAGGGGCGCTCGCCGGTGTGGGTGCGCTCGTGCTTTCGCAGGTTGGAGCTGTGGCTGAAGCGCTTGCCACACTGGGGGCATCCGTGGGGCTTCTCCCCGGTGTGGGTGGTCTGGTGCTTCTTCAGGTTGGAGCTGTTGCTGAAGGTCTTGCCGCACACGGCGCAGGCGTTGGGGCGCCTGGCCTTGGGAGTCTTAGCTGGGGGGTCCCCCTGTGGCCGGCACGCCCCGCCCTGGTTCTCGCCCCTGCAGTCGGACCGATCGAGTCTCCTCTCGAGGCCAGAGAGACTCATTTCATGCTCAGCGGATGAGTTCAGTCCATTACCCAGGGGGTCTTCCTGCTGCTGTCCTGCCCCACCAGCATCTCCCTGCTTGGCACTCCGGGACATCCCATGTGTCTTTGTTTCCACAGACCCCTCCTGCTGGGGATTACCCTCCTCTGTGCTGGCACCTGCTGGGAGAGAGAGGAGAGAGAGAGAGAGAGAGAGAATCCAGTTGGGGCTTGTTCCCTGTGTGGGGAAGAGAGGGGGCAGCAAAGGGGTTTGTTGCTGAGCAGAAAACCTGATGGGTAGGAAATGAATCCCCTCACACCCTTTCCCAGAGGGGAGAGGAGGGGACGGGGCTGCCCCAATGGCCCAGCTGAGCCCTCAGAGAAAGGCTGGGGGAGGGGAGGGCTCCTGCCGGGGTGGGAGCCAGGAGTGATACCTGCCATGAGGACAGGGCACCTGCTGGGGATGACACTGAGTGAGACGAGACAGACCTGGGGGACTCCCGGCAGCTTTGCTGGGATCCCAGCTGTTCCCTTCACTCCTGGACGGTCTCTGAGCCAGTGTGACACACTGACCCCTTGGCAAAGGGTCCCCTGTTCTTTGCAAACAAATCTCACCTCAGACCCTTCAAATTCACTATACCAAAGGCATTGCCTGGCATGGTAATCGTCCATAAAGGGTAACGTGTAAGGTATCTACAGAAAGCTTGTAACGTATCATAATCATTGTGAGATGTACGTGCAGGTAATATTTACGGAATAATATATTTCTATTGACATGACACTATAGGACTTTGAATAGAAATTAGTCACCAGGGGACAAGTCTCCGGGATGACCCATTCAGGCGAGAGGGTGTTGCCACCCTGCCCTGTCTAGCCAATTCAAGGCTCAATTGTTTAGCCTTGTGCAACACGGAGGTCTTGTCTACATTTCAAATCCTGCAGCGGCATAGCTGGGCTTCAGTGTAGACACTCCCTGCACCGTGGGAGAGGTTCTCCAGATGGTAGCTGGATCAATGGAAGAATTCTTTTGTCAACCTATCGCTGGCTACACAGGGATTTAGGTCAGCTGAACTGTTGTTCAGGGGTGTGGATTTTTCACATCCCTCTCTGACATTGTTAAGCTGACCTAATTTTCTAGTGTAGACCAGGCCTAAGACCATCCATGGAAAACCCATCAGAAGCAACTGCAAAAATCAAAAGCACCTGAAGGTAAACAAAGGAACATTACAACATGACAGGGGCTCACCCTGTCTATGAACAGAAACAGAAGACTGTTTCAGCATAACACAGAGGAGGGAGAGGTGCCCTGAATCCATTCACTGAGGAAACCCCTTGTCGAGCAGGTGTGTTTTCATGAACATTTGGATCCGGGTTCTTGTGAAATAAGTCAGCTCTGCAACAGACTTAACAGGGGGAGAGGGGCACCCACAAGTGCGCACCCAGGGTCACGTTTTCTGATTTTGTTTTGTGTTGTATCCAGCCGTTTCTATCCCACTCTCTCATTTCTAGTTCAATCTTTACCCTTTCTTAAATAATCCTAGTTTTGTTTTATTAGAAGCACTCACAAGTACTGGGTGACTTTAGAGGAGCAGCAATATAAGGTAAAACTAATAACGTAGGGTACCCTGTTCCTTTGGGGCAGAGGGTCTGGGATTTCTGTGAGTAGCCAGTGTCAGGGATTGGATATCACAGGAGAACAATCCAAAGGGACTGGGGTGCACCTCTTGTTAACCTGCAAGGCAGTGACAGGGCTGGCATAGCCTGGAGGGGAGTACTTGAGTGGCTGACAGAAGTTAACCCCCAGTCACCATGGGCAAGAATCCCTCAAACTGGAGGCAGGGGGCAGCAAAGCGATTCCCAGTCCTCAGTGCCCCAAGAACCGGGCACCGTCACAGCCAATGTCACGGTTTCCCATCAGGGGTGTCATGTCCAGCTGGGAAATGGAAATTCTGCTCTGGAGAAAGCAAAGGGGTAGGAATCGTGTGGCTGGCGCAAGATCGGCAGCACTCATGTTTCCCAGCGGGAGCTGTATTGTAGGGGTGACAATCTCTGTGCTGCAGGGTCTGTGGGCTCCAGGGGCTGATCCCCCAGAAAGAGCCCTGAGCCAAAGCCCCAGGTGCATTAGAGTCCCCCAACTCCTAATCCCAGAGGGGCAGCAGCTCCTCACCTGGCGAGATCAGAGTCTCTTCCTCCTCCTCCTTAATCTCCCTGCAGATCTTGCCATGTTCTGGGGCCAGCGCTGCCCGCTCTGCCACAGAGGAACACGCAGCCTCCTTCTCCCACGTCCCCGGCTCCTGGAACAACAAAGGTGCCCCCATTAGTGCTGGCAGCCACATACCCCTCACTCCCCATCAGCGAACAGAGCTAGCCAGACAAGGGAAATCCTTGCCTGCCAAAAATGTTGCATTTTTTTGAAGTTTTTACCCCCAATTGGGGTAATTTTTTTTTTTAAAAGTCAGCTTTTTTCTGGGGAGGGGTTTTTAACTGAAAAGTCTACTCAGGGAGAACTGAGAGGAAGTTTTTCAGCTTCCCAGCCGCCAGACAGACCACTTCACAGCCTCTGCCCACAGTTCCAGGGCTGGAGAAGACGACAGCCATGACTCTCTGCCTCCCCCTTCGCTCCAGGATTCTCTTCCTCTCTGGTCCCAGAGCGAGGTGTGTGGGGAGAGGGCGCTTTCACCCAGGCAGCCCTCCCAGAAAGTTGTCAATTTCATTGGCAGAAAGTGACTGTGAGAGACTTGTGGGCAGGGGGGTGAGGAGCCTACACTGAGATTTTTCCCAACAGAAAAGAATTTTCCCACAAAACTGAAATTTTTCCCCAGGGACAACTTTGGTTGGGCAAAATGGGCATTTTTCCATCAGAAAAATCATCTCCACAAAATATTTTTCCCAGTGGCTCTACTAACAGAGGAAAGGTGCCATATCCCATTCCCAGACCCCCTTCAGCCAACCAGTCCCCCCCTGCCTCATGGGTGGATTGGAGCTGGCGCCCCCTAGAGGGGAAAGGCCCCATGTCCCACTCCCTAATGATTTCACATCCGTAAATTACCTCCTGCTGTGGCCATATTCCAGGCTCTTCCTTGGCTAACTGGAAACCCCCCGCCAGAGCCACGGCCTGCTCCCCGGTCTGGGGGTGACACCCCCCTACCCAGCTCTGGATCTCCTGGGGCAGGATGCTCAGGAACTGCTCCAGCACCAGCAGCTCCAGCATCTGCTCCTTGGAGCGCTGCTCCGGCCTCAGCCACGCCCGGGAGAGGAGGCAGAGGTGGTCGTACGCCTGCCGGGGCCCCTCAGCCTCCTGGTAGCGGAACCCCCTGAAGCGCAGACGATGCATCTCCATATCGACGGGTCCTTGGGCATCCGGCTCCTCCACTTCCTCTTTGGGAACCAGGC